TGTGTGGGACCCCCCCTCAGGTGTCTGGGTGTCCCCCCCACCCCTCCCCAGCCCGGTTCCCGCAGATCCCGGTGCTCCCCCAGCCACTCCGAGGCCGCTCCCCGCTGCCGTTATCCCGTTATCCCACCCCCATCCCTCCATCCCACCTCGTCCCGTCCCGCTGCCCCCGCCCGGTGCCGCTCCCGGTGCCGTCCCCGCCGCACCTCCAGGTGGTTTCCCCAGCCACTCCGAGGCCGCTCCCCGCTGCCGTTATCCCGTTATCCCACCCCCATCCCTCCATCCCACCTCGTCCCGTCCCGCTGCCCCCGCCCGGTGCCGCTCCCGGTGCCGTCCCCGCCGCACCTGCAGGTGGTTTTGCCCACGCCGCCCTTGCCGCCCACGAAGATCCACTTGAGGCTGCGCTGCTCGATGATGTTCGCCAGCGTCGGCTCCAGCGGCTCCACGTCGGGCGCGTCCTCGAACTCCTCGGGGCCCTCGGCCGTCCACCCGCCCGCCGCCGCCGCCATCTTCCCCGCGCCGCCGCCCGCCGCGCGCTGATTGGCCGGCGCACGGCCGCGCCCTCCCTTTTTTCGCTTCCTATTGGTCAGCTCGCCCGTCAATCCTCGCCGGGGGGGCGGGGCGAAGCTGAGGGAGCCCCGGCGCGTTGCCGGGCAACGCCGCCCCGCCGGCGGGGGTCTCGTGACGTCACCAAGCGGCGCCGCCGCCGCGCAGCGGAGGTCGCGCTGATGTCATCGGGCGGCGCCGGCGGCGGTGGCGGCGGACAAGATGGCGGCGCGCGGCGAGGACCGGGAGGCTCCGGAGGCGCCTTCGCCGCCCCCGCCGGGCCCGGGCGGCGGCGTCAACGTGTTCGCCAACGACGGCAGCTTCCTGGAGCTCTTCAAGCGCAAGATGGAGGCGGAGGAGCAGCAGCGGGAGCGCGAGGCGGCGGCGGCGGCCGCGGAGGCCTCCGGCGGCGGCGGCGGTACCGGGGTCGGCCCGCAGCGCGGCGGGGCCGACGGAGCGAAGAGGAGCGGCGGCGCGCTCAGCTTCGTAAGGACGCGGCGGCCCGCGGGCCCCTCCCGGCTCCGCTCCCGCCGGCCCGGCCCGAACGCGTGAGGGGGGCACGGACCGGGGCCGCAACCGGGACACCGGGGCCGCAACCGGGACACCGGGGCCGCAACCGGGACACCGGGGCCGCTCCCGGGACTCCTCCCGGAGCTCCTCGGTGGCGGACTCGCCCGTGGCGGTGGCTCCGCGCTCTCTCTCGCCGGTTGTTTCCCCTCCCGAGCCCCGGTACCGGGGGGGTTCGGGGCGGGCTGGAGCCCCGGGGGTCCCGGCGGATCTCCCCCCGCCCCGCTCCCGGTAACGGGGCAGGTGTGTCCCTTCCCCAGGTGGGGCGGCGGCGGGGGGGCAACAAGCTGGCCCTGAAAACGGGAGTGGTGGCCAAGAAGCAGAAAACGGACGAGGAGGTGGGGCCGGGGTCCCGGGGGGGAAATTTGGGGGTCCCAGGGGGGAGTTTGG